TCATTTTCGCTGCATGCGGGGGGTTAGATTGAATTTTTTAAACCCCGGAGCTTCCGATTAAAGGAACTAGGAAGCGAGAAAACGCACTGTTCCTCTTTAGCCGAGATAACTGAGATTAAAGGCACTGCACTGGGAAGCCGAGGGGAAACTAACTTTTTCCGATTAGTTATCGACGACTACGTGCGGCGCCTAAATACGAAAACAGTTTTGAACACAGGGATTCGCATTGCGTATTTTCATGATCTACCATTTTCTTTCCGCCAGTTAAATTCGCACTTCCGAGTTTAATAAATAGTGCAGCTACGACAAGCTGCGTTCCAAAATTTACGAATCTCTAATAGTAGAGAATTCGGGTTAATTACTAACCTCAAACTGTTCCGAAGAACTGATGGAGCCGGGGTGACCCCGCAATTCTGTCAGCACAGTGGGCCAGGTGGGTGTCGGGGTGCTCGCCAGAAGAGAGCAACACCATAGGGGACCCGACAGCCCAGATTATCGCTTCCAGCTCTGCCTTACGATTAAATCTTTCTAATATACCTATTCTGCTCTGGTTAATGCATTAATGCAAACGAATATCTATACAACCCATGTGTTTACACGCACCCCACCAAAATCAGCGGCACCTAGCTGGTGGAGCGTGAGAATCGTCGGCTAGCCCGAGCAGCAGCAGCAGGGGTAATCCAATCCTCGACGGCTTCAACGGCGAGAGAACGAGAGAGAGCGAGAGACGCAGAGATAGAGAGTAGAAACAGAAACTCCTTAAAGGGAAAGAAGGGCTTCTCACCCCTTCTCTTTCCCTCTTTTCCAAAAGTCGGCCCGGAAACCAAAACGAAGCGTCTCATGACCACCACCACCACCACCACCCACGCTTTCTTGCAAAAATTCGGGCCATTTTTGCTGCTTTTCTTTTTATTAATTTTAAGGGGGTAAACTTGACTTTGAAAATAGGATTTTTGATAAAAATAATATGTTTCGTTTTTTCAAAACTTGAGAAGCGTTCCGGAACACATAATTTTTTTTAATTTTATTATCTGGGAGCTATTGACTTAGCTACCGCAATTAGCCGCCGTATTGTCGGTTAATATTTCAAACCAGCGCCCAAAACCCGCTTCGCGGGCCTTGGGCGCTGGAATGCGGCCTTTGCATGAAAAATTTGACTTCCCGATAGCTCGGGTCCTTCGGACCCCCTACCCCCCACCGACCACACACGCGAGTGCAACTGCCAATAATGAGGAAATTTGTATTTTTCCGCATTATGCAAATTAGCCCTCAGGGACCCCCAAAAATGAATAAAACCGGCTTTAACTTTGTAACTTGTATTTTATCGAAATTCTGACGACGCCATCGGAAACAGGAGGGTCGATTCCCCCGGGTGACGGAGAATTAGAGCATTTTGGACACGGGAAGGCCCTCAAATCGGGCCTCGAAAGTGACATCCACACACACACACACACATACGCGCCAAAATTATATAAGGTAGGATATTTTTTGGGTAGATTTTTGTAATCTTCGTTTTGGTTTAACAGCAAGCTTTTTTAAACTTTTTTTCTAATTTTTTCGGATTTTTACCGTTTTTAAATTATTTTCCTCTTTTGATGAAAATATCCAAGTTTACATAAGGAGATTAAATTAGGAGTTTTAATTCATACTCGAAATTTTAACTTTGGAATATAAAAAGGATTTGTTTCAAAAATTCACAAATACTGAAAAAATTTTTCCGATGTTAGTTTGGATACATTCTCGCATTCAAAATAGCACGTTCGCTGCTTCGTATTATTGTTTTTTCAACCTAAATAATTTATTAACCCTGAGCTTTCAATACTATTCGTTTAAGAAAAAGTCAAATAGGCTTCTCATTTTTTATTTAATTGATGTTTCAAAAAACCCGTTAAACACCTCGGAATTTTTGCTTCGTTTACTTCTTTTCAATGTCTGCGAATTTATAAAAATAACGAAAATCCCGGGTGCATCTGCTTCCGCCTCCCCCCCGAAAAACAATGACTTTTTCCGCCCGATTCCCGATTGGGACTATGGGCTCGATGTGGTGTGTGCAAATGCAGAGTGTGTTTTTGCCTTAGGGGGAAGCCTTTAAAGGGTAGGGAGAGAGAGCGAGAGAGAGAGAGAGAGAGAGAGAGAGAGAGAGAGAGAAAGAGAGAGATGGACAGATGCCGGAAGTTCCCCCCGGCTCGAATATAAGTGGGCCTCAAAGACAAAGGACTGCCCCTTTTTCTTGGCCATCCCCGTTCTTTAGGCGTGTTTTAAAGGTGGGGTGACAGAACTAAGCCTAAGCCTTTGTTTTTTGCCAAATGCATTTCTCTCGAGTCTTTTAATTCCGAATGAATTCAAAAAGAACATTTTTAAAGCGGAAAAAGCTACATTTCCCTACGAAGCATGCGATTGATATTGAACGTCCCGCCGAGCCGTGGAGCCTCGAAATTTTTGAAACATTATTTGAAATTTGTAAAATAACGCAAAGCAATGTTTCCCTTAAACTCTAAAACTTATAACCCAACCAAAGTTCAATTCGTAAGTGTTTTTGCATTAACAGGGAGAGAAAGAGAGTGATAGAGCTAGAGAGAGTGAGAGAGAGCGAGAGAGCCAGAGACACAGAGAGAGAGAGAGAGCGAGAGAAAGAGAGTGCGAGAGCGAGAGAGAGTGAGAGAGAGAGAGCCAGAGAGCCAGAGACACAGAGAGAGAGCGAGAGAAAGAGAGTGAGAGAGCGAGAGAGAGAGTGAGAGAGCCGGAGAGCCGGAGACACAGAGAGAGAGAGCGAGAGACTACTCGAAATACCTTACCGGAAATTTCCGAAATTTCCTAAATTCCGCAACTTTCCACCCGCCCACCCAACCGGATTGCCGAGGGCGACATTTTTTTAAAATCCGGCTTTTCCGGTGGCATCTGAGCGGGATTTGCCTTTTTTCGTTAGGGCCCATCCAGAAATGGGCTGCCCCCAAGGGATTTGTAGCCCGGCCCAAGCTTCTTCTTCTCCCTGGCTTCTCGACATCCGGCTTTACGTTTGACGCCTCGGGGCGCATTTTCTGAGCCTGGTCGGATTCTTTTACTTCTTTTTGCCGAGACCCCTCGTCAACTCACACGCCTACATGTTTTTTTCGGTGGCTCTCGGGTTGACAGGTTTTTGAGGCGGAGAAGCTAAACTTTTTTTGGTTCGAGCTATCTTTCGTTTTCAACGTTTTCTGAAACTTTTTGGGATCCAATTCAATAGTCTGTTTTTATTATATTTTTATTTTTATATATTAATTTTTTATTTCTTATTAAAGCTAGCTTTTTATTTTCGGCGACGACGAGATCAAACTAGGAAATTTTGAGCAGCTTAAATTTAAAAATTTTTGAAACGTAATTTTTCACGAAAATAACCCGCCATCCCAGGCCACCCGCCAGGCAGACTAAACTTCATTCTAGTATTTTTGTTATTAATTGTCGATGGTAACTCCATGACATTATAAAAACTCCAATCTTCCCGAACTTGAAAAATTTTGAAACCTTCTTTTTCCATCTTTCCTGCGAACTAAATCGGAATTTACAGTTTCTATTAAGAAATTTGGAAAATATAGTATGTTTCAAATACCATTAAGCTAAAATTTTTTGTTTTTTTTTGGGCAATTATATAGGAAACTAGCCTACATACATTTAATTCCATATTCCCACTAAAATACACTCAAGACCTACCGTACCTCCAAGCCGTGTCCAAATTCTAGCCCCGCCCCCTCCTCAATGTCACCCGGAAAGGGGGCGTGGCCTCTACTGGAATCTGGATGTGTAGCAGTCCAGAAGCTTTTGATTCTTTCATGGGTTGGATGATTGATCCTAATAAAAATTCAACGATGCTTTTATTTAAAAAAATCAAGAAAAATGTAAAATTAGTTTATTTTAAAAATATCTGTTACATACTTTTTAAAAAGTCCAATTTTTACTTTTTATCATATCCCATTCAGTCTGAATACTGCGATTTGCGATTTCAGGGTTTTTAAAAATACATGTTACATACTTTTTCCCAAAACGAATATTTTTTGAATCACTGATTTTTATGTCATTGAACCGATCGCAATTTTAGAAAATCTCATAAGGTATTCCAATAAAATTGAAAAAGGACACTAATGTACTTACAGCATCGTTAAATCTCCAAAATATACCGTAAACCTTCTTACAATTTTAAAATTTAGAAAAATGTTTCATATTTTTGTAACTACATGGTCCAATTCAAAAGATTAATCGGTCGAGATGTTTCGTGCAAAATATTTTCGAGATTTTTCCCAAATTCCTCGCAATCACGCGAAAAACAAGAACTTCCCCCTCAACTTGCCAATTTCCTAATTTCCCAAATTTCCGCTCCATTACCCTTTACACAATTTTATTACCTCCAATTTCCTGATTTTCTTCGATTTAATGAAAAAATGTGTTTCACTTCAGCCCGGAACTGGTGGAGATACGAGCCTCATCAATACGGGTGAATTAGTTGTGGGAAAATTGACTACGCTTCGCGCCTACGGACGACCTGTTTAAAGGGCCATTGAAGTGGCCCACCTATCCATTTATCCTACCGTATTATACCCTAGCCTACCGTACGCCATTCACTAGCGTATTCTTACGTACTCTAACGGAAATCGTAACGGTCCTACGCGAGGCCACGCTACGTATTACGTATCTAAACGTACGTAGGGACAAGATCCTGTCGTTCTGTTGTACTCTATCGTATCCATCCGTACTCTAACGGAAATTCAGGCCTACGCGAGGCTACGCTACGTATTACGTATCTAAACGTACGTTCCGATACGCTGGAACTTTCCGTATCCTACAGTACCCATCCGTACTCTAACGCAAATTAAAGACTACGCAAGACTACGCTATATATCCAAACGTATCTAAAAATACGTAACGACAAAATTCAGTCGTTCTATTAGCCCTACCGAAGCCAGAAGTACCCTACCGGAGACTACGCAAGGCTACGCTACGCATTACGTATTTAAACGTACTCCACCGCCATGCTCTCCTCCGTATCTTCCCTAATGGGAAAAGTAGGCGAATCCACGACAAGCCTCGGCTCATCCCTAGCCTCCCAAATGAGCGAAGAGCTCTCGCCCACCGTATTCGAGGACCGTTTCCGGCGTCTCTCCCTCTCAACCCGGAAAATCTCGCGCGAGGGCGGCCGCCGACTGTCGCATATGGTCTCCAAAATGGGCGAGACCATCGACCGGGAAATGCTCGAATTTATTGGTTTGTTAGTGAGCTTCCAAGTATCAACGAAGAAAAAACTAAAATTTCGACTTTTATTTATGAAACATTTTTCGAGGAATTAGCGTTCATGATGTTTTTCAAATATTTAATTCTTCTAAAATTGTAACCTGAGTTTTACAAACCTTTTTTACGTTGTTTAAACAACGCTTGAATTTTGATCGAATAACGCAAAATTAAACGATGCCATTTCACCAACAGCAGTAAATCTTTTGAAACCTTCTTTTGGTAGCGTAGAAATTTTCTTTTGCCTTTTTTAGAGTTTTATCTTTAATAAAACCATAGAATTATGAGTGCCTATCGAATTTTTTTAATTGCAAATTGTTGATACCTTTTCCTACGTTTTTAGCAACAAAGCCTACCAATATAATGACGTTTACCGAATAGCCTTTACACCCATATTTTACAAAACATAGCTTTCTAGAATTCAAAAATATATATTTTGATTAGTATATAAATATTACTATATCCAATTATATTAAATATTGATTTTATTAGTTATTTCTTGCTTCAAAAAATATGCTTGAAAAATGTAAAAAATTATGTTTCGGTCAGTCAGTCGGTGCGGGGCCGTGGTGATTTGCTTAATTTTTCGCATATCGCAAAGTCTAATAAAAACAAAAATAGTGGCTATTTAATAAGTAGATTAAATATAGAGATTATATAATCTTCTATTTGTCATTCTTTAGGCGAAAAGCCGGCGGCGCCCCTGTTCGGCACGTCGTACCTCAACCGCGAGTGGGAGATTGTCACCGTCAAGGAGATGTGCAGGTACTGTCGTTTTTTATAAAATTATAACTTAAAACTAAATCCTAATGGTAGTATTAGCTTAATTATTAATAAATGTAATGTAAAAGCAATCCAAAAATTTTCAAGGGGTTTGGGGAAAAAATATGTTTCATCAAAAATCAAGTCTTTACCTTTTTGATAGCTAGTTAATCCAAGGTTTCGACTTTCATTGTAACGCCAAGAGCCTAATAATACAAAACTCAGCTATACTTTGAAAAAATCATAAAAATTTCTGGAAAATCAATAGATATAATTTCACAAATTTAATATATAAACTGATACCTTAAAAATTATACTTCGCCAACCACGCCGGGTGGTACCACCCCCAGGGGTGGTTGGAGGGTGGGGCTGGGGGGGGGGTGGTCAATGCATTAGCCACCCCACCCCACCCCTTACAAAATTTTTTCATGATTTGGCAATAAAAGCTTGTTCGAGTCAGATATGGTCCCTCAAAGACAATGTAGTCGGAAGACCAAAAAGTTTTATTGCCAATCATGAAAAAATTTTGTAAGGGGTGGGGGGGTGGCTAATGCATTGACCACCCCAACCACCCCTCTGACCACCCCCCAACCACCCCCACGACCACCCCCAACCACCCCTGCTCCCACCCTCCAACCACCCCTAGGGGTGGTACCACCCGGGGTGGTTGGCGAAGTATATTAAAAATGCTATAAGTACATAAGTTTTAATTCATGTAGATTTAATCCCTAAGAAGCTTTTTATGAAGGAAATTTAAGCTTTAAGGTGCTATATAAAGTTCTAAAAATTTAACTTCAAATAAATCAACTAATTTCAGACGGTTGTCCCTCGACGAAATCGACCACATCGAGATGCCGATCCCGGAGGGGGCCAAGAGCTCGCAGATTCTCGACGAGCTCATGATTCGACAGGTTGGTTTTCGAGTTTTTTACAAAGTTTTTTTACACTACATAATTAACGCTACAGTTAGCTTAAAATAAGGGAAAAATTGACTCATTAAAAAGCAAAATTTTTGGAATTTGCAAGTTAATATGTTCCATCCCAGTAATACTTTTAAAGAATTGTTGATCTTGCAATAATATGGGCCGCAAATGCGAAAAGAATTCGGGCAGACTAGCAGAGATTCTTTGAGGAACGGCGTTCTCGTCTTCTATAACAGTTCCTTTTCACTTGTTTTCAGCCTCCGATCCCAAACCATGACCCAAATGACCCCAAAAATAGCGAGAAAATGGCGTCTCACAACTTTCTCTGGTATTCATGAGATGCTTAGTCAATGGCCGCTCCCCTCGAGAGTTATTTGCCCGCCAGCAAAACATTTTTTTGCGCCGCTGGTGAAAGAATAATTGCTTGCTGCTACCCCGGCGGGGGTCATTGGAAGGCAATCCAGGCGCTCTCGGGGTGAACTTTGATTTTTCGAGGGGTTGAGGATTGAGAATTAAGCGATTTCTTGCAAAGAATCTCTGCTAGCCTGCCCTCCTCTCGGGGTCCGTCCATTTCCTCAAACAATCTCTGCTAGCCTGCCCTCCTCTGGGTCCGTCCATTTCCTCAAACAATCTCTGCTAGCCTGCCCTCCTCTCGGGGTCCGTCCATTTCCTCAAACAATCTCTGCTAGCCTGCCCTCCTCTCGGGGTCCGTCCATTTCCTCAAACAATCTCTGCTAGCCTGCCCTCCTCTCGGGGTCCGTCCATTTCCTCAAACAATCTCTGCTAGCCTGCCCTCAATTTGATTTTCCAGGTGATGGAAATCCTGCCCGCCCGCGCCGAGGGCTACCCCTGGGTGAACATCTACAACTCGGAGAAGCACGGCTTCAGCCTCGCCACATTGTACAGGTGGGAGAATGCGATGTTTGGCTAAGGTGCCCTTAGGTATCTAAGCGTATTAAAAACCCCAAAGATCAAAAATTACACCGATTATTGCAAGCCGGGCGGCTTCTCGGATTGCCGGATGCGCGTGTGCGTGTCAAAAGTTGATCCTTTATTCGGGGGTCACCAACCCCGGCCCCTCCACCCGGCTAACGAGCGGTTTTCGGGCCCTAAAAGTTCGCCGCGACCCCCATTTTGCACACGACGAAAAAGTTGTTTTTTTTGGGTGAACGCTTCGAGAATTGGAACGTCAGAAATTTACCCAACACCTGACCGCGAAAAATTGGGTTTCAAAAAAAATTGAAAAACGTAAAATTCTTTGCATGCCAGTGATCCAGACTTTCGTAGTCCAACTAGGGGAGATTCCGGAAGAAATTCAGTCCCCGAGATGAGGGCAGGCTAGCAGAGATTGTTTGAGGAAATGGACGGAGCCCGAGAGGAGGGCAGGCTAGCAGAGATTGTTTGAGGAAATGGACGGAGCCCGAGAGGAGGGCAGGCTAGCAGAGATTGTTTGAGGAAATGGACGGACCCCGAGAGGAGGGCAGGCTAGCAGAGATTGTTTGAGGAAATGGACGGACCCCGAGAGGAGGGCAGGCTAGCAGAGATTGGAGGAGGAAATGGACGGACCCCGAGAGGAGGGCAGGCTAGCAGAGATTGGAGGAGGAAATGGACGGACCCCAAGAGGAGGGCAGGCTAGCAGAGATTGGAGGAGGAAATGGACGGACCCCGAGAGGAGGGCAGGCTAGCAGAGATTGTTTGAGGAAATGGACGGACCCCGAGAGGAGGGCAGGCTAGCAGAGATTGTTTGAGGAAATGGACGGACCCCGAGAGGAGGGCAGGCTAGCAGAGATTGTTTGAGGAAATGGACGGACCCCGAGAGGAGGGCAGGCTAGCAGAGATTGTTTGAGGAAATGGACGGACCCCGAGAGGAGGGCAGGCTAGCAGAGATTGGAGGAGGAAATGGACGGACCCCAAGAGGAGGGCAGGCTAGCAGAGATTGGAGGAGGAAATGGACGGACCCCCGAGAGGAGGGCAGGCTAGCAGAGATTGTTTGAGGAAATGGACGGACCCCGAGAGGAGGGCAGGCTAGCAGAGATTGTTTGAGGAAATGGACGGACCCCGAGAGGAGGGCAGGCTAGCAGAGATTGTTTGAGGAAATGGACGGACCCCGAGAGGAGGGCAGGCTAGCAGAGATTGTTTGAGGAAATGGACGGACCCCGAGAGGAGGGCAGGCTAGCAGAGATTGTTTGAGGAAATGGACGGACCCCGAGAGGAGGGCAGGCTAGCAGAGATTGTTTGAGGAAATGGACGGACCCCGAGAGGAGGGCAGGCTAGCAGAGATTGGAGGAGGAAATGGACGGACCCCGAGAGGAGGGCAGGCTAGCAGAGATTGGAGGAGGAAATGGACGGACCCCGAGAGGGAGGGCAGGCTAGCAGAGATTGTTTGAGGAAATGGACGGACCCCGAGAGGAGGGCAGGCTAGCAGAGATTGGAGGAGGAAATGGACGGACCCCGAGAGGAGGGCAGGCTAGCAGAGATTGTTTGAGGAAATGGACGGACCCCGAGAGGAGGGCAGGCTAGCAGAGATTGGAGGAGGAAATGGACGGACCCCGAGAGGAGGGCAGGCTAGCAGAGATTGTTTGAGGAAATGGACGGACCCCGAGAGGAGGGCAGGCTAGCAGAGATTGTTTGAGGAAATGGACGGACCCCGAGAGGAGGGCAGGCTAGCAGAGATTGTTTGAGGAAATGGACGGACCCCGAGAGGAGGGCAGGCTAGCAGAGATTGTTTGAGGAAATGGACGGACCCCGAGAGGAGGGCAGGCTAGCAGAGATTGTTTGAGGAAATGGACGGACCCCGAGAGGAGGGCAGGCTAGCAGAGATTGGAGGAGGAAATGGACGGACCCCGAGAGGAGGGCAGGCTAGCAGAGATTGTTTGAGGAGAGTTTGAGGTAATTTTCTTACCTGATGGACAATATGAAACATGCGAATTTTTTTACAAAAATCTAAGTTTTTTGAAACAGAATAGTTGCCACTAAAATGCAATAAAGATACTATCAAAATTGGGTGTATTTGGAAGAGCTTTGCGTGTACTAAAGTGGGCTTAAAAAATTATTTAATCCATCTGGTTACAGAAAAATGGCCGAATTCGACGAGGACATGTCGCCGGTGCTGCTCATCATCCGCGACATCAACGAACACGTCTTCGGCGCCATCGTGTCGTCGCGTAGGTTTTATCAAAGTTTGCGAATTTTGTTCGGGAAATTTAAATGTTTTTAATGGCGCTCTGTGCGAATGAGAATTCCTTCATCCGAATTTTCTGGGTTTTGTAGGATAATTGAAACATTTATTTTATAAAGAAATTCTCCGGAAATTTTTGAATGTTATTTTTGGCTTGAGGTAATTTCTTGGGGTTTAAAAATCGTATTTTCCAATTTGAGCAGCTGGTTATTCGGTAATTTTGGTCCTTAAAATCCGTGAAACGTTTTTTGATACAAAAAAATGCTGATTTTTAGCATTTTTGTGTTGTCAGGGCAATAAGCCACGGTATTTTTTTTCCCAAAATTTTTTTAATAGCTCTGTATTGAGCGTAAACAAATACTTTTATAAAAATATTTCATGATTAAAATTTCAGCGATCCGACCGCAAGAGGGCTACTCCGGAACCGGGGACTCCTGCTTGCTGTGGAGGTTTACCGGAGAAGTGCCTCATACAAGGTAAATTGCATAACTCTCTCTCTCTCTCTCGCTCTCGCTCTGTCTCTCTCTCTCTCTCTCTCTCTCTCTCTCTCTAAGTCTCTCTTTCTCTCTCTCTCCCTCCCTCTCTCTCTCTCTCCAACTTTATCTCTCTCGCTCTCTTTCGCTCTGTCTCTCTCTCCTATTCTCTTGCTCTGTTTCTCTCTCACTCTCCCTCGCTCTCTCTCTCTCTCTCTCTCTCTGCTTTCACTCCATCTCTCACGCTCCGTCTCACACTCTCTCTCCCTCTCCCTCTCTCTCTCTCTCTCTCTCTCTCTCTCTCTCTCTCTCTCTCTCTCTCTTTCCCTCTCGCTCTCTCGCCGCGCGTAGGCGTCTGCCAAAAGTGGCTCAACTACCGCAGCATGTTCGTAGGAGCACAGCGTCCATGACACGCGCAAATCTGTGGCCCCCGCTTGGCTCAAATTGGCTGGTCTCTCTCTCGAATGGGCCATCCGGGTCTCCATTTTCGCCTGCACCCAATTAACGCCGACAGACACGACTACGAGAATAGACACACAGACAGACAGACAGAGATACACGATCCAATTCCTCGAAAAAGCCATTTTTCACCGAATTCTATAAAATGGCCGCGAGCGCGAAAGTGCTAAAAGTGTCAAAACTAAATTTAGAAACATTTTTGCAAAATTGTAGAAATATGTTTTGAGTAAAATGAAATGTAACAAATGTCGATACAGAATAATGGCATCATTAGCGACTATGGTGTCCCAAAAAAAGTACCCCCCCCTCTAGCGGCCCGGAGGAAGCTCGGATCGGGCAGATTTTTTGCACCATTCGAATGCTCTCGAAAAGGCGAGAAAACTAGCAGGTTTCCTTATTCTAAGATTTAAACTAATTCCATCGATATTTAAGGTTTTTCTGAAAAACTGGTACTTTTTAAACAGGAATTTCGCCTTGCATAAATCAGCGGTTTTCATGGTTTTAGAACGTAAAATTAGCGAATAAAAATACATAATAAAGGAAGTGAACTCGCCTTGTTTTCTCGCCTTTTCGAGAGCTCTCGATGATCAATCTTGGCAACTTTGCAAAAATATGTTTTGAATAAAATTAAAAGTAGCAAATTTATAGACAGAATAATGGAATCATCAGCGGTTGTAATAATACCATAGGCCATACTAGATTGTATCGGAAAATATTATTCAAATTTTCAAAAAATGTTTCGAACAAAAATAAAAATAAAAATGTATGCGGGAAATTAATGAAATTGTCATCACATAATTTGAGCCAATTTACGAACATTTGCTTACAAAATTATGATTTAAATTGTAAAAAATATGTTTCGCGTTAAATTAAAAATAAATTTTTTTAAAGTATGATTAATACGCAACAATACGTTTCCAGGGAACTTCGACACTACACGTGGACCGGCGACAACCAGTACTTCACCAACGCCACCCGCGAAAGCCTGTCGATAGGAGCCGGCGGAGGCCACCAGGGGTACGGTAATAGCAAGGATTTTAATTGTGTTTTTAGAGAAATTTAAGTATGTTTCAAGTGAAAAACCTATCTGGAAAACTTAAAACTGCTTAAAAATTCTAAAATTGGTCGAAAATCGATTATTTTTCGCCAAAAATCCGGAAATTTTTTGTTTTTTTTTAACAAGAATTTATTATTCTATAAGTCCAGAAATGCCTAATAACGCAAGAACAAGCGTTTTAATAGTGTTTTTTGCAAATTGTAACCATGTTTCTAGTGGAAAACGATGAGAAAATTTAGAAATTTTTTTGGGTTAAAATTTGGTCGAAAATTCGCAATTTTGGGGCGAAAAATCTATATTTTCTATGTATTTTTAATCAACATTTGTAAGGTTTTTATGCTTAGAACTAGCCAAAAAAAAGCTTAACAACCCTTCCTCTATTTACACTAGGAATAATGGATCCTTAGAAAAAGTTAAAAAGCCCCCCCCCCCGATAATGCAAAAGAACCTATTAAAGAAGGTTTTATATATCCAGGTATAAAGAATTATATTAACACTTTCAGACTTTGGCTCGACGCCGACCTGAACCACGGCCGATCCCAGAAGTGCGAGACGTTCGACAACGAGCCGCTAACCGGCGACAAGGAGGACTTTATCATCCAATTTGTCGAGGCCTACGGCTTCCGCATGTAAAATAATCACTTCAAGCCACGTCCCTTTCTCCCCTACCTGGCACCATCCCTTTAAAGGGCCAGGCAAGGCATGGATATGTTTTTTTGTAGATTTTGTGTATATTTTCCGCGCCGCGACACGCAACGCGCACGCCGCTCAGCCGCTGAAACTCGGCGTAATCCGTTACGCGCTGGAAAGACGCCCGAGCCGAGCGCGTCGCGTACCGCGGCTGCGTCAAAATCTGGCAACCACGCCCAAAAATCCACAGCCTTGCCTTGCCGGGCCCTTTAAAAAAACCCCGCATATTTTGGTGGGCTTTCCGATACAGTAAGCTGATGCATTTTCCACCCTCCCCATGACCATTCCAGCCCATTTTTTGTATGGGCGCGGAATTTAGGAAACGGCATTTAAATCTGGATGAAAAGGGTCAAAAAATATGTAAGATGTTTAAATTAAACGCCTCAATTTTTGTCTAACATACAGGGTGTCCCAAAAAAAACGACCCATCTGGCATTTCGCCGGGTTACATCCAATCGGCCCCTAATTTGGACCAGAGGTGTATCGGACCTTAAATAACAACAATCCTGACTTACAGCCCCATAGCTACAGTAGTTTTAAAGTTATAACGAAAATACTGTTTTTTCCGGAATTTTGAACCGTTTTTTTCAGCTATCTTTTTGGACTTTGCATCGATTTGCATCGACTTCCGGCTGCGAATCCCTAATTTCGCTTAAGAACTGGGGTAGTTTTGCGTTGTAAAAATTGCTTAAATCGAAGCTTATTTAATTAATTTTACTCTGGAAAAAATTTCTTACGGTAAAGAAGGCCTACCGGATCATTTTCACTTAATGTTTAGGGGGCCGAATTCCACGGAAACCCTATGAAAAATGGAAAATAAAGTTTGTTTTTGCTATAACTCGAGAACGCCTGTAGCTACGGGGCTAAAAGTCAGGATTGTTGTTATTTAGGGTCCGATACACCTCTGGTCCAATTTTGGGGCCGGTTGGATGTAACACGGCGAAATGCCAGATGGGTCGTTTTTTTTGGGACACCCTGTAAATATTTCGATAAAACACTCAAATTTTCTCGTAAAAACTTCAAAAATTTGTTTTCCTTTAAAGAATTTAAAAATCAATTTTTGGACGAATTTAATTTTATCAAACCCCAAAAAACTCAAAAATTTAAAAAAAAACTTGTTTTTTACAGGAATTGGTTTTTTAATCAAGATGCCGTTTCCCAATCCGCGCCCCCCTCTTTTCCCCGTCTGTACATAGCGTAGCGTCGCGTACGGATGCATTTTTGTACCCTCACCCCCACGTTTATTTTTTTGGAGATTTCTACGATATGTAGCGCGCCATGATAACTTGTGATTACATTACAGTACCCCCTACCGTAGCCAAAGCCACCGAAATGCAATTTTTTTGACTTTTTTGGGCTTATATTTGTAACATTAATTTCTACAATTTTGCGCACTTGTAATTGTCATTTTCTTCCCCCGTCGGTTTAAGTGATGCCCTGAATGTACAGGTAAAGCTGGTAATGCAAAGGAACACTTGATTTTTATAGAAAAACGTAAGAATATCTCTCTCTCTCTCTCTATCTCTCTCTCTCTCTCTCTCTCCCTATTTCACTATAGCCTTAGCGATACGCCTGGTTCGGCAAGATGCGACGTTTCCCCACTCGATTTTTATTATCTTGGTGTGTGGCTCTTATTTATTCATTTTTTCGCGGAATTTCCAGTGTGAAAAGAATTTTGTGGAATAAAATGTACTGAAAAACTGTGCAAAATCGCAACAAACGATCACTGCTGGCCTGCCCTCCCCTCGGGGTCCGTCCATTTCCTCCTCCAATCTCTGCTAGCCTGCCCTCCTCTCGGGGTCCGTCCATTTCCTCCTCCAATCTCTGCTAGCCTGCCCTCCTCTCGGGGTCCGTCCATTTCCTCAAACAATCTCTGCTAGCCTGCCCTCCTCTCGGGGTCCGTCCATTTCCTCCTCCAATCTCTGCTAGCCTGCCCTCCTCTCGGGGTCCGTCCATTCCCTCAAACAATCTCTGCTAGCCTGCCCTCCTCTCGGGGTCCGTCCATTTCCTCAAACAATCTCTGCTAGCCGTCATTTAATCCTACAGATTTTGGTACTTTTATTACATCCAAATGCTGCGACAAAACTAAATACAAGCAATGAATATCACAGGGCTCAAAGCACTAGCCCGCAGCAAAAAGTATAGCTTAAAATTACGCTCAAAAAGGCATAAATACATTAAATTAAAGTATTATGAAGTATGGGAGTAGTATGAATACAACACTTTTAAAGGCAATTCTATACAGGTGCCAATGGATTCACCGGAACGTCCACGGCGGGCGGAAGCGGTGGTGACGCGTTGCGTACGGGTTGCGTCGCGTCGGCCGGGCCGAGACCGGTCTGCATTTTGACGACCCGCTGCTCCCAGCCCTTCACGAAATATAGTAGGCCGCAAAAGGTGAGCAGCACGCCTGGAAAAAGGCCTGAGCTTGAGCCTAAGCCCCAACTAAGCTTATCCCGAAGCCTAAGCCTATTTCTAAGGCTAAGCCTAAATCTAAGCCGAAGTTTAAATCCTTAGCCTAAGCCTGGGACCAAGCTTAAGCCTACGCCTAAGCCAGAGCCTAAGCCTAAGCCAAGCAAGTCAAGCCTGAGCCTAAGCCTAAGCCTAAACCCTCAGCCTAAGCCTAAACCTAAGCCTAAAACCTAAGCCTAAACCTAAGCCTAAGCGTGCACTAGAGTTCAGTCCAAGCTAAAGCCCAAGAGTAAGCACAAGCTAGGTCTAAGCCCAAGCTTAAGCCTATGTTCAAGCCTATGCGAAGATTAAGCCTACGCCTAGGCTAAGGTAAGCCTAACCTAAAGCCCAAACCCGAGCCTGAGCCTAAGCTAAGCTTATGGCCAAGCCTAAGCCTATCCCTAAGCCTTTGCCAAGCCGAAGCCAAGCCTGAGATGAAACTTAAGCCTAGGACTAAAGCCTTAGCCTAATCCTAAGCTTAAACGTAACCCTAAGCCTAATCCCAAGCTTATCCTAATTCTAAATGACACCCACCGGCTACTATACTGTAATTATTCGACCAAAAGCCCAAAAAGAGCGGCACGGCCATCAGAATATACAGTACACCACGGCGCTTCTTGTCGAAGCCGAGCACGAAGCCGAACGTCCGACAGCAGCATCCGTTGTTTCTGAAAAACAGGCAGTCTGCCCTGCTCCTTGAAAAGGGCTTGTAATTCTTCTAATCGAGGAATGGTTTCCAAATTGTTTTTTTACTATCCCTAAACGTAAAACTATACAAAATTGCATAAATAACGCCGAAAATATCGATTTTCCGACGAAAAATGGCCGATTTTCGATAAAAATTCCAGCCAAAAAATGTTATAAGTTTATTAATGGTTTTCCAGTTTAATTATAGTTAAATTTAACTAAAAAAACGATTAAAATATTTCATTTTAAGTTTCTAGACATTTCTGGACTTGGAGGAAACCCTGAATTCACCTACCCGCACACGGTAGTGATGGCCGGCCCGAACTCGAGGAGAAACACCGGCGTCCCGATCAGCAACAGGTACACCCCGATTGGGGCCGAGGTGACGCCGATCAGGCTGTTGATCCCGCACGTAAACACCTGCAATTTGGTAGTTCACCTTTGCTTGTTTAGTCCAATAAGCATCAAGCATGCTCAGGTTCAATTTTTATAAAAGTTTTCGGTTGGGCGCTTTTGTAAAATAGTGGTCTTTGCAACCTGTAATTAACGTACCAAAACCATCGTCACGAGGCCGACCAACGTCCGGAACGGTCGGACATACCGCAGAATCGGGTGGCGGAACACTGAAAGGTTATTGGTTCTTTTACATTACCGGGGGGGGGGGCAACATTTTTCTATCAACCCGGAAATGCGTGGTAACGTAAGAGTAAATGTTTTAATAATTTTTAACAAACTCAACCAAATGTTAGGCGGAAAAACGATAAAAAATTGGTGAAATTTTGTTGGAAAAAAGCTATTTATCGCATTTTTAAATCAAAAATTGTAAATTTTTTACGTTTAGATATAATAAAGACCTAGATAAGCGTGTTGGCTGTTTGAAACTCACTCAACAAGTCCACCGTCGGCGGCGGCTCCGCAAAAGGCATTGTTGCACTTTCTTTCTTAATTTAGCGTTCTACCAAACCTAAAACGTCACATCCACATTTATACCATTTGAAAAAATAATAAAATGCAATAAAATATGCCATTTATACGACCTCCAAAATTCAGATTGGCACTTTTCCGCAAGTTTCTATCTTGATAAAAGGCCCATTTCAATAAATTTATTAGACTAGAAAAAAGGCAATAACAAAATGGAACAACAATAATAATATCAACAACAACTCTTCACCCGAGCAACAAAAAGAGAAAATGGACAATAATCAGCGAGAAAAGCAAAATTCAAAAATCAAATAAGCGACTAGAACAATCAAAACTATCACAGATGAAAGGTCAAAAATTCGAATCCGGACCCGTAGACGAGGACGACAGCGCTGAAATGGTGTTTCTCGAGGGTGCCCCAAAAAAACCCTCCCTAGCGGCCCGGGGAAGTGTCCGATTTTTTAGGGTTTAGGCGTCGATTTAAAGACTTCGACGAGGCGAATAAATATTGTATTTTCGATTTTTGAAATTCTAGAGTTTTCTCGATTGTGCCTTTTTATGCAAAAATTATACATTTTTTCGAAAAATTTTCTTTGAAAACTTTCTATTTGACATTCTAGCTTGGTGAAAGGGGCAGGCCATTTTTTAGCCAGGATCCAATCTTTTCTGATATAAATAGCTGAAGTGTTTCTAAGCTGTTTTCCATTCCCAAATGTAAAAACTTTACAAATATTTACTAAAAAGTACAAAAATATCAAATTTTTCGTCGAAAAATGGCCGATTGTTGACTAAAAAATGCTTTTCTAAAATTTTACTAAAAAGTATTAAATATTTATAAATACGCATCTCTGGCCTCCTATGCAAAAAGTTTGCCCCCCCCCCCCGATACTGCCAAAGCACTCATATTTCCTCGGCTGGTCAAGGAGCTTTCGGTATCTCCCCAAACCATCGAAATCAGACACTCCTCCGGACCGCTAGAGGGGCCTTTTTTTTGGAGACACCCTGTATCCAATCCATTGAAAACATTTAGATACCTATTTCCATCGACAAGAACCAGCTCAATCCCGGCCGGATCTTGCACTTGCGTTTGGCGTGTGGTGACGCGGCGGAGCTGAACAAGGTTGAGTTTACAAGGCCAAAACTTGAACGCACCTCTCCATTTGAATATACCGTCACCGCCACCCGACAATCCAACGCCACCGAGTAGACGTGCAGTGTTCCGTTCTTGACGTCACGCGCCGCATCGACGGCAATGCCTGGAAAATGGCAAATTTTCGGTGCCTGCGCATTATCGGGGGGAGGAGGTTTTCCTTGTATTAATCTAGAATGCCTAGCAAGTTTGCGCAATGTTTTCACCCCCAAAACCAAAATTTAACTAGAAAAACGATCCAAAAGCCTCGAAAAATTTAAAAAAAATCGAAATATTGGTGAAAAACGGTCATTTTTGGACGAAAAATCTCTATTTTTTTTGTATTTTTAATCAAATTTTGTAAAGTTTTACGTTTAGGGATTAGGGAAAGTAATTCCCCCCCCCCCGATAATGCGAAAGAAACCCCAAAACCCACACACCTGTAATAGTGCCCGCATGCAGATATTCCATTTTGACGACCCGCGCCTGTCCTCCATCCCAAATCGAGATGGCACCTAAATGGTGCAAAAATTTAGGTTAAAATCGTCTGAAACGCACCGGCCTCATCGCCCAGCGCCAGATACGCGCTGCCGCTCCCTGCCAGCGCGGAGAGCCCACATTTCGAAACCTGGAAAAAAAATTAAAACTGAAAATTTCGGCAAATCACCTCAAAGCTCGTGATTTCGCCGCGCTCACTCGCGTACAGTCGCCCATTCGTTGACGCGCCGATTAGCCCGGAGACGCCGTAGTGGACCTGAAATATCGACAAGCTCGACAGGGTATGAGTATCCGATTTTGCCGATGGTGCTGGTGTGTTAACGGGGGGACATTTTTTGTCAATATCTTAAATATCTTTATCTCTTCTTAAATTACAATGTTTTGAGTTGTATATGAACTTTTAGTATAGTTTTTTCCTGCTCTATCGAATAGCGGTAAAAGAACCTAAAAGATCGAAAATCCCGAAAAATTCCGCAACGCAACTTTTAGCGTTGTTTTCGCTTTTTTCATAACTTTCTGAAATTATTGTGCGTTGATCTAGAATTAAAATTCTTAGGCTTGCCTAATCTGACCAAATTTCGACATTTTCAAAAATTTTTAGATAG